GAGAAAATACTGGATTATATAAATGTGACTGGCAAAAACTAAATTTTTTAGAATATGTTCTTGAATTACATACTTAATATATGGTATTTAACAGCTAGATATAAATATATTCTCCACGCCCTTACTATATATATACTCCACGCCCAACAATAAATTGAGAGTAGTGGGTTGGACTAGAAGTCCTCAAAGATCCCTTCAAGCTCTATTCTGATTATAAATTGTAAATGTATGACCTCTTCACTTAATATATTGAAGATCTAATTACACTTGCTGCTTATGAGAGCATTTACAAACATAGATTTTGAATGGATACGTATAATAAAATATGGGATTACAAAATAAGTAGGTTAAGAATGACACTTATATAAATATATTTGAAATAATTTTTATTGTCATAATTTTACTCTCATTCCAAATTTCGGGCCTGTAGATACTCATGTTCTGCACATTTTAAATTATGGACAGACTAAATCTATTTTTCAACTAAACTACACCGAATATGAAAGAGCATTTACGTGATCTACTGCAAAAAAAATATTTTTTGTGTTTCCATCTTTTAAATAGATATAATATCATTAAGACCAGTCTATTTTTATTCAATCTCTCATTTTTTGTCCTGCATGTAATTTGGCCACATAGAAGTTTATTAGGAAAAGCTAATTAAGAGTTAGCTTCAAGTATGTGGGAATTTTAAGTATGCACAGAACAGCACTGCAAGAATAAGACATATTCACAATTTTCCTTTGATGATGGCAAAGAATTACAATGGATCTATATACAAATTGGTTTCAAACTATACATCACAGATATCAAATTAAAAAATTATTGGTATAGTACTTGAGAAAGATTAAAAAGTAATAATTAAAAAGTTTTTTCCAAAAGAAAAAAAGAACACAAAGATTTTATATGTTTTCCCACACTAAGCAAATACACATTGAAGAAAGCATGAAGAAATCATTACTCAAATGACATCTAGTTATGAATCATAGTTTGTAAATATTTAACGAAACGTCTATAAAATGTACCATAAATAGTAACAATAACTATTTTACAAGGCAATGATTCCCAATTACTACTTCTGTGCTTTTCATGCAAAGATGGGAGGGCAGGCGGAGCTTCTGAGTCAATTTTGGTTCCTGTCCAGTTTACATGTGCAATTCCTGCCACCCCCCACCCCCAAGTGGTTTGCTATATAGCCTTCTTCTTAGCGCTGAAAAAAAGAGACTAACCCAAAGTCACCTAACTGGCTTTGTGTCTAAGGCAGGATTACATCTTAGTGTCTCCTGGTTTCTATGTCAGTGTCTTTAGCTACTGCATCAAATTAACTCTCATAGCAGATTATGGAAAGATAATTCTTTTAAAACTTTATTATACAAAAACAAAGTTATTATGTTCTGCATCATCTTCTCATTATTACTCGAACAAATCTTTCTTATTTACATTGTTATATCTTAAGCCAACTAAGTGTCTAGAAATATAGTTATATGCTTTATATATTAAATGCATTAGAAATCTAAAGGGTTAAAATCATTGCTTTCTTTTTTAATTAGTATGTTTTGAACATTTAGTTTCATGAATATGTTTCAATGTGATAAATCTGCACATATCAAAAAGTTCTAAGAACAATATTCCAATAGCAACTTTTGTGGAATTGAAGTAAAGAAAAAGAAATATAATGAATAACTTTCTCCCAAACTGAATTAAAAGTAATCTTTCAAGTACATCCCAATACTTCCTTCCTTTTTATATCAATGTTTCCATTACAATATTTTTCTATAATTTTTTCGTAATATAGATTTAGTGATGGAGCCTCTGGGTTTTTACAATACAAATAGTTATTGACTTACCACCATTTGTTAATGACTGTTCAAAGTTACAGCAACAATGAAAAAAGTCTTATGACTGTTTTTCATACTTATAACAGTTGCAACATCCCCATGTTCATTTGATTCTTGGCCAATGGTCATATTTATGACATTTGCAGTGTCTCAGGGTCATGTGATCACCATTCGTGACCTTCTAACAAGCATGGTCAATAGGGAAGCCAGATTCACTTAACTGGGTTAGTAATTTAACAATTGCAGTGACTCACTTAACAACTATGTCAAGAAAGATAGTAAAACGGGGCAAAATTCATTAAACAACTGTATCACTTAGCAACAGAAATTTTGAGCGTAACTGTGGTCAATAAGTTGAGGACTACTTGTATTATGGTATGGCCAATCTTACTTCAGTTGTGAACTGATTTTCTTTGTTGTTCTTGTTCTTTGAGTTGCCTAACTAAATAATGACAGTAAGAATATCTTGGGACTGAAGGTAAATTTTCCTCCCTATATACTATTATTTGCTTCCAATCAGAACTTCTGAGCACAGTATGGTCATGCAGGAATATAGGCAACCTTCACTTTTCTACACTTTAAATGGGCTTTCCCCAGCAACTTTAGATACTTGTATATACATATAGGACCAGTCTGACGTAATGGATAAGGCATCAGGCTGGAAACCATGAATTCTAGTCTTGCCTTAGGCTAGGTGACTTTGGGCTGCTCATGTACTCTTTGCCCTAGAAAGGAGGCTATAATAAACCACTTCTGAAAAACTTTGAAAGGAAAATAGCAGGGATTTGTCCAGGTGGTCTCCAAGAATCAGACACAACTGAATGGAAGAAAAAAAAATGCAGCAAGCATATAATAACATCTAGGAATAGCTTAAGTAATTTTCGCTGTTGTTTGCTAATGTTGACTGTAATGTGAAGTCTTCAACCCAATGCCAAAGATATAGTACTATATTTTAAACCTAACATGAATATTAGACCTTTAGAAAGAAGACTAAGAAGATTCTAACATAAGATTTTCAAAGGCTCTTAGCAGTTGCAATGTAATTGTCATACAGAGTATATTTTTAATCAAAAACTTATTTATTTGCAACAAATCATATATGCTATTTTTTGCTTTAAAATATATTCTGGCATTATTTGATTATTTTTAAAACAATTTTTTAATCTAAAAAGAGTTTGCATAAGGTAGCTCTGCTAAATTATTTAGAAGAAGAGGAATAACTCATAATTGCTATTAACAGGAGGGAGATAGAACTAATTTTCCTCCCAAGACATCCAAATCTTCAGAGAAGAGTCAAGAAACCTAAAATAAGTTAGTTTACGTTTAAAAATATTTTAATCCATTGAATAAAAGTCAAAAGGATGACTCAGACAGGTTCCAAATGTTTTTTGGAAGAACTTTAGGCCTGATGTTGTACATGACAAGTCCAAAAATGGTACGAACCATTTCAGTTGAACAGCACAAGAAAATCATTGCAGAAATAAACAATTTGGCCAGGAGAACAGGGGAAGTAAATTTCAAGGACTTAGAGGAGGAGTACATCAACATTTTAATTGAAAGGCATGATTACTAATGGGTAATAAACTCTTGAGGATAAGGACAAGGTTAAATAAGAATCTAGCTAAGAATAAAGAAAGCAACTGGCATGATGCCTGCAAATTTCTACAAATATAATTCATGCAATAAAATTCAAAGTAGTTCTTTACCATATGTTAACACTATACACAAGCCATGTTCAATGAGTTCGCACAGAAATTGGTTTTCAATCACAGTATTCCTGAGAAGGACAACTATTACATCACTTAAAATTGTTATCCCTGAATTGGGAATCTTGATGTCTCCTAATCCTTTTTCAGCCTCTGAAACCCCTATTACTGAATCCTGTGGAAAGTTGCCTGCTATATGTTATAAAATGTTAATATAGTATTTTTAGAATCATAGGTCCAAGATGTTATTATAAAACATAATTTAAATAATTTAAAATATATTTAAATATTTTTCTGCTAAGTATCAATGATTATGTAAGTGCGAGGGTAGAGATTTTCAGGAAAATGTATGAGTTTTGCAGGACGTTGACATATAATGTGTAAATACAGAGACTGTATTGCTTAACATATGTTAGAAGCAAATTTGCTTGGATTCAAATTATAGATGCTCTATTTGCTTCTTAACACAGAATACAATTAAAGATGTTAAGATGTCACTATATACAAAGTACAGTGTACACTGAGAGATTAGGAATTGGAGGACTTAAATTCAATCATGTTTATTGAGTACCTTTAAGCCAGTCACTTTCCCTGAGCCCTTTCTACCTCACAGAATTGTTCTTGTGGAGTGGGAAATTGAAGGATAAAGTGATATGCAAACTATATTTAGATACTTAAGGAAAAGTGTGATATACAGTTGAATACAAATAAAATCAAATTCCTAATTATAAACTATTTTACTTTTGAGTTATGAATTTCACATTTGCATTTTGACAGATATAAATGGACTTATTCAGATTAATGAAGTTCTCTATTTTATCTCTAGCAATCTTTAAACTATGCTTAGTTCTATCAATTTTATTTCTTTAAATTGCAATCCAATTCTCTGCACATTAATAAAGTTTAACCTGTTTTTAAATTTTGTTAAGATTTACATTATTTTTCTTTTGAGATGTCCTAGCCAGCATCCATAACACTTTCTCCTGAAAGTTATATCTGTGAGGCATATCAAAGCTACTGCAGTACAGTACATAAATTATGCCTGCAGTATGCCAGTTAACTATTTTTTAATTCATGTTCACTTCATCCCACTCAGCCAGTTGCATCTCTCAGTCCAAGCAAACATACATAGCTTTTGACTTGATATATATTATTATGAATGTATGTATTATGTAGCTTGGGAAAAATAAATTAAGTGTACTTATTTCTAAGTAAAAATAAGTGTAACCACTTAATAATTGTTTTCATTGCCTTGATTCAATATTTTTTTCTGATGGAACAGTATAATCAATTATATTTTGTTAGGGCAATATCCTAATTTGTGAAAGAAGTAATTTTCTTACAAATCAGGTTTTTTTTAAATCCCAGAATTCCAATCCTCAAAATGGCAACCACAGTGAGAGTATTTTTATGAAGAACAAGCTCCATTCTGTCAGTTATATGTTAGAAAAATTACCTTCGTTGTATTTTCCCCCTCATTAGTCTTTCATAGAACCCTAGCATTCTGCAGAACATAGTGTGAAATAACCTATTGTAAATAAAACCAGAAATCTGTCAAAAATATTGATAGCCTAAATAAGCAAACAAAATGTCATTAATTTTAAAATATAGTAAAATATGTCTTATGTGCTCACAAAAGAAAAGCTAATAATTTAATGTAGTCCTCAACTTACGACTGGTTGCTTAACAACCATTTGAAATTATAGCAGCCCTGGAATGGTTGTTTTATAACTCATAAAGCACTTTAGCTGTTGTAAAATGTCATGCTAGTCCTGCATTTCAAGTGCTTGATGACCAATTCACCTTTCTGATCAGTTGCAGTATCCTGCAGTTTTGTGACCATGATTTGAAATATTTTTTGCCAGTTTCCAGCACTAAACATTCATTTGTAAGAATGGGTTTGCATTTATGAACATAAATTTACTTAATAATCATGATTATTAACTTTAAGAATCACAGCAAAAAATGTCATAAAATCAGGTCCTGTCATGTGCCTCAATTTATAACTGTAAAGACAAGACATATGACCAAAAACCCAGTCCCAATTGCAGTTGTAAGTTGAGAACTACTTTTATGACCGTGATAAAGAATGCACACACTATTATCTTCTTATGTAAAAAGATATAGTTACCTGGAATCATGTGGTTACTGTAAGTTAACTGAAAATAGTAAATAAAGAGTAATTTTAGAATTAAGAAAATTTTTAGCAAGTCAATTTTCTTTAGTTTTTGATCTGTATCTGCAATCTTTTATAAAAGTATTCAATTTGTACAAAAACCTGTGGTACAAATGTAAACCATCTGGTAAATGTCAGTAATCTTATACAACATTCCTAACGAAGCAATTCTATTGAACACAATTATATAATTTGTTAAAAACATAATATTATTACTAAATCTATTTCTGTGTCCAGTTATCTTTCCACATGAAAAGCAGGAATGTAAAAAAAAATAGAGCATTATTTAGTCAACACAATATTTTTCTTAAAAATAGCATGAATATACTTCTTAGAACATTGTGGGTCTCAAACCAAACTCCTGCTTTATTGCAATGAAGATTTCTGTGTAACAAATGGGATTTTTCTTCATAAACAAGAGTAAACTTCCCCAGCAGCAACTATTTGCTTTATGTGATCACTGGATGCACGTCTGCTTGCTTATTTTCTGCTTCTATCTTCAGATATTTTTACACACACACACACACACACACACACACACACACACACACACAAAATCAAATAGCAAATCACACAAGAGATATCACCTCAGGGCTACAATTTATGAGTATCCATAATCCATCCAAAGGATTAAAATAATTAATAATATAGAATTAAGAAAATCAAGAAAGGGCTACAAAATCTGTGCAACATTATGCATATTTTACAGCATCTGAATTATTTTTCCTTCAGCACAATGTTATCAGATTAGATAATCTCTGAATGAGAAAAAGATCATGGCTATGCACATTCTCCATTATAAGAACAACCCTGAATAAATAATTTGAACTTTTTATTTGAGATAAATTTCCATAGGATATTTTCTGGTAAGTTTTAGCCTTGCAGGTTGTTATTTTGCAGAAGTTGCTAGCCATTATTGGACACATAACTGATTCATACTAAGCTCTAGGTCTGGTTTCTTCAATATACTGTAGTGTCAATGAGAATTTTTTGTTGTATCATTAGTCACCTTTCTCCTGATTTTTAAAAATAGTATTACTTAACCGAATGGCTAGCATGCTGTAAAATAAATCAAACATGTGTCACATAAGAAATAACTCAAAGCCTTATTTGAGCCTTAAAAACACTGTTGAAGAAATTGCTTAAGAGCTAAAGTTGAATACTATGTCTAACGTGCACAAACCACCAAAGGGATGGCGATAGGGAACATTCCTAAGAGCTAAGGCAGACAGAAAGATTTTCCCCTGCACTGTATGTGTATTAATTTTATTTATTTCTTTAACATGTTTCATTTTAGCAGCCTCATTTTGGTTTGTGAATTGTAAATTTTTCCTAATTCAATTATCAATATAAGTATATTGTTTAGTATATAGACACATAAGTAGTTCTTACTTATGACCAGAATTAGAACCAGAAATCTGATGCTAAGTTGCTGTGGTCATAAATCGAAGCATCCATTTGACTAGAACCTCTGGAAATGTTTTGCTGGGATTGTGAAGCAAATCACCATGAGTTGCAAATTATGGTCAGGTGACCACAGCATACTGCAAACAGTCATAAAGACTAGCCAGCTGTCAAGTTGCCCAAATGTAGGCGCAAGACCGGAGTGGGGTGTGTGTGTGTGATATTTTGTGGTGGCTGGAAGTACTTTATGGACTGTAAAGCATCTGTACCTAGGGTTCAGGACAACCTATATATGCATACATACACACAACCACACAAACCACTGAGTTGTTGATCAAGATTTCCAGATTTTCTTTCTCTTTCCCTCCCTCCCCTCCCCCAACTAAAAAGCCATAGTTAACATAATACATGAAAAGAATATCTGTTGGTTCCATGCATTTTAAATACAAAATGGTTCTTAAAAGTTCTGAATTGAATTTTCAATATTCTGCATAAATATGATCTAAAATATGTTTTCCATATAAGATCTAAAACTAAATAAAGATAACCCAATTAACAATGAGTCAAATTGTTCATTTATTTATAGGAAAATTATCCAAACCTACATATTTGTGTGTGGCATAATCAGAAGGAAGGGATGGATGACCAACCAGCAAGGTGGATGGACAGTATTGTTGCACTAGGTGAATCAATGGAAGTGTTGAAGGTCCAAGTTGGGGACAGATCCTCTGGAGAAAAACGGTCTGTGTGACTGCTAAAAATGGACACCAACATAATCAATGAAACAGATATAACCATATAATTTAAAATACTAAGATATCTACTCTTCTGAAAAATACTGACCACCAGGAGGCATCACTTCATCAGTTTCATTCTTATTGGGAATTGCCAGTTACCACCATTATACCTGAGTATTCACTAACCAGAAAAGCAAATTACATTTATAAAAACTAGGCCCATATAAGATCATTTTAATGGGATACCAAAGGCCATGGAACTTATTAGATTTTCCTCCATCCAAAGTTACATGGAAAGATATCATTTAGGGGAAAAAAATTAAACAATACCACAATGAAATATCGATCAGTTTGATTATAAGAAATGTACATATCATAACCTGAGATTTGAACTTTTTTGAGTTCTGATCATTGCATGACATGCAATAAAGATAAAAGTTGCCCGTTAGAAAAGAATCTCCTAGAATATAGGATGACATTTTCTGGATCATACTTTCCAGAATAATATGTATTCAAAAGAATGTCAATTTTAGCAAATACATTATTTTATTGTGTCATTTACAATGGGACAGAAACATTAGATATATATTTTCAAATTTCTTTAGCACATAGAAAATACATATTTGATAATTTAGGTACATTCATGGGAAGGTGAAAATGAACAAACACAGAATCTTGCACATTTCCACATGCATGTGCAGAAAATGTGAAATGAACAAGGCTGGGGAAGGAGAAAATGAGTGATACAAAGGATAAAAAAATTACTTTACCAAAGCATGTAATTCAATTTTTATCACAAAGCAATTTTCATTACTGGAAATATAATAAATGTACAATGCCCATGAAAGCTGCATTTAAACTATCCATATGAAGCTTGAATCACAAGGTTGAAGGTTCATTGCACAGTTAGCCAGATGTTTAGAATGGATCGGGCTTTTTTATCCACCTATCAAGTCATTGCCAGAATTATAGAATAAGGTGTTGTTTGATCATGTTAAAGTATGGTGACAGGATGTATACTGTTCCAAATAAAGCTGACTTTTGAAATCAATTGATTGTGATTTTTGTCAATGCTGAATAATTATTATTATCACAACTCCAGTTCTTTAGCTAGTATTGGCCTTTGTGCAGTGAGTTTTTCTCAAGAATTTATGATGTTGTAATATATCAGCATAGTATAGTGTGGATCCAAATAGTGTGCCTTTTGTATGTAATCGACAGGTGAAAATTTTGTCAATGCATAGATTCTCTAAGCGTCATCCAAGATTTTTTGGTATGGCACCAATATGCCAATAACCACCAGGGCCTATGTACACCATAATCTTTCCACTTTGATTTTAGATCTTGATACTTTGTGATTTTCTCCAAATCTTTGTTTTGTATTTTACTATCTGTTGGTACTACTACATCAATTATTTTCTTTTCAACCAGAGTTAAATTTGGTGTGTTATGAATGAAGATTTTGGAATACCACAGTATTTAATCTCCTCATTTTCAATAACTTTTCAATTCTATCTCTATCCATTTTTCATTACTGGCACATGATAATTTTTACAGATGTCCCATTTAATCATTTTGATGACTGTGTTATGTTATTATTTTATGGTTGGTTACATAGTCAGCCAGATATTTAGACTGGATTTGGCATTTGTAGTCGTCCTTCCCAAGGACCTGAGACAGGCAGATGCTGTTGCTTTGAGGGTATTAAAGGCATCATTGTTACTTATTGTTTTCTCTGTTAAAAAGATTAGCTGAACTGGAGCTATGGTTGAAGAGGAAGTAATATAATGTACCTGTACATTAGAACTGTAAGTGTTTTAAAAATTATTTACTTAAACATTTCAAATAGCTGTCAGCTTTACAACAGTGACTCTGATGGCACAATGACGATCAAAGCCACAAGAAACAAAAAATCGCTCAACTTAATATACTGTACAAAGGAAGCACTGACAAAGGAAGCACAACAAGACCCCAAATAATAACAATAATGTAACATACTCCTGAGTATAAAAAAAACATCCCATTTTCAATTAACAAGGACAAAATGAGGCAGATCTACCAATAAGGGCTGATTTAGTTTCTTAACCCAAATACTTGAGGGACATGACACAATTCAGAATTGAAATCAGTGAAATATTGGTAGATGTAACTGTATATTGAGAAGTAGCATTTATGAGGGACTTTAATTACTACCCTTTATGCAGGATGCAGTATATACACAGAAAGAATAAATAATGTAGCATATACTGATTTCATATGGCATGCCATAGTCCTTGTTAATGTAAGAAGTCAGCATTCACTAACAAATGAATCTATTTCATTACTCAGTTGGTGTAATTTGGGAAGATGGTAACATTGGTAAGAGTGCAAGCAAATAAAACTTGGATTCACTGTATTCTCTCTCTTAACTTGTGTTTTTTATATTAAACAGAAATTGTAATAAAATACAAAAACAATGGTAAAATAGATTTTAAGTAACATTTTATTTTTAAAAAACCCATAATGATTATAACATTAAAACCAGCACCACCTAAAACCTTCACAGGAAGAAAATGGTACAGAATCTTGTCCCCAATAATTCCAGGCCTGCATATCAAACAATATGTTACTCTATGGATATATCTAAATAATGTTTACATTCATAATAATGCAATGTAAGAAGGCTTTTCATTATTAGGGCTGTATTTAGCATTTCTGATTCAATTATTTAAAAAGTGCCTTGGAGGATGCAGGAACATAAACATGTCTACAACTTTTAAAACAGCTGGGCTTTTTGCCAGGTTCACATGGCAACCACAGAAAGCAGGTGCTTCATTTGCACTCCAAAACACCTTTTGGAATTTAATTTGAAGTGAGGCATAGGTTCAATAACTATCCGGAAACTGTCCTGTCATTAACTCATATCACAGGCAATCCAGCATATTGTATTAAAGCAATAAAAATAAATAATATTTAAATAAATTATTATCTAGAACGCAGAATAAAAATGTGTCTCCCAAATTTAGATTAATTTTAAATCTGTTAAAGCATCCTTCAACCTCATGCCACCACTGCAGAAAACATTTCATTATGTTAAGTTGAAAGAACTAATGTGTCTCCAAATGAACAGAGATTATTACAGCAACTGTAATCATTGCAGTTTCTTATCTGAAACAGTTTGCTGGGAAGTACACACTCCCACTGATTGTAGTATCTCAAAACTGCAGTGCATCTGGCTAATATCCATATTTTAGAATTACTGTTAAGCCTACTGGTAGTAGAAAATAACTTTGCCTTCTCTAACCATATAATGCAAATCATGATACAAGTACCCCAATGTCTTCCTTTAAATCCTTTATTTCTCCAGGATATAATATATAGATTATCAGCATAGCAATTCCATTGGTACTATTGGTACCATTGGTTAATGTTATAGAATACAAATATGACTTAGACAGACATCTATCTCTTTTCAAAAGTGATGTTATTCATAAACACACTGATCTGAATTTATTTACTTATTCACCTACCAATTTATTATTTTATTTAGGCTTATATGCTATTCCAATTGTTATCAACTCTGTGTGGCATATATTCCCTCATTTGCAAATAGGATGGATATATCTATCTATCTATCTATCTATCTATCTATCTATCTATCTATCTAT